CGGGGAATGGCAGCTCAAGGTGGTGGGTGTCTGCTACACTGAAGCAGGCTTCCTAGATTTAGTCCCCACCTGTGTAGTTATCAATCCTAAAATCTGGGGTAGGCTGGGGCTTTCTCTAACCAAGAGAATGTAATAGCAGTAAAACACAGCCAATTCTAGGCCTCAGACTTAAGGGGCCTGGAAGCTTCTGAGTTATGCTAGTGGGAACCCTGAGCTGCCCTTTAAGAAGTGTGAATATCCTAATGTAGAAACAACAAAGACAGGCTATATGGAGAGGAAAGCCCCTCAGAATACAGGATAGGAAAAGAAGCCCGGCCCAGCTGACTCAACTACACAGGGACCACCAGCAGAAGAGTCTCCTGGCTGAGCCCAATCCACATTGCAGAACACGAGAAATAATAAAACGGTGGTTGGTTTAAACTATTACATTGTGAAGTAGTTGTTACATAGTAAAGGGTAAGATGTCTTCCTGAGACATGTGAAGCAGAGACTGCAAAAAGGTCTGCCCAGGGCTGGGGCTGTCACTCAGTGGCACAATGCTTGCCTGGCCCATGGAAGGCACTGGGTTCAATGCTTAGCACCACCTAAAATTAAAAACAAATAAAATAAAGGCATGCTGTCCACCTACAACTATTTAAAAAAAAAAAAATGCCCTGACTATCCTCTTCATTCTGTCCACTCCAGCCCTGAAGCTAAAAGTTGAATGAAAAAAGAAAATGTGTACAATAGCTAGTACCCAGCTTGGGACACGGTAACACTCCAACAGTGCTACCAGATGCTCACCAACAGTGCTACCAGAGCTTGCTCACATGCTGTGGCGTGAAGATGAGCCTCCATTCAGAGGCAGAATGGTGAGCGCTTAAGATCATTCTGCAGCCAGATCACCAAGGGCTCAAAATCTGGCTCCTCCATTACGAACTTGCTTAACTCTCCATGCCTCAGTTTCCTCATTAAAAATGAGGATAACAGTGCCTTCCCCTCGGGATTGTTGTGAAGATCGAGTTGCATGTTATGAGTGGAGAAGCGTCCTGGCAGATCAGAACCATGTGATCAGTCACTGTTGAGGTTTTCTTTGTCTCTGTTTCTTCACCTCGCGTTCAAGCAATGACACCAGTGTCGGCATTCCAATGTTCACAGTACTTTCCTTGAAAGATTTCAAAACTTAGAAATTCTTAATTAGAATAATCACACATCATTTTCAGTCTCTTTTCTCTATTCATCTGGGTTTCTCTTCAAATACAGTCAGATCGAAATTCACTTGTCCCTCTTGAAACGGCAGAAAAGTTAGCAAACCATGGGAGAGTGGTGCAAGACCTGTGGGATGTGTGTGGAGAATTGCGAACCAACAACGCCAAGAGCTTAGAGTGCTCTAGAAAGTTCGGGGGATGTGATGCACAGCAAGGTGCTGGCTCCTTGTGACCTTGAGCAGGTCTCTTAACCTGGAGATCAGCTTCTCAACTGCAATAGGGAGACACTATACCCAACTTGCTCTGACTCCTGAGGTGGGGTAAATTAAGACCAAAGGTATGAAAAGCTCCTGTGACTTCTAAGGCACCGAGGGAAGGTTAGGAAGTCTCTTGATCTATTTGCAGCATTATCTATCCTATAACAATAACCTTTTGCATTTTAAAAAAAAAAGTTTTCAAATAAGCCCCAAATTCTATTCTTGCCAACAAGCTGGGCCACAGCAAGTGCTTTTTATGAGAACTAACAAGAAGCCTATTTTCCTTAAAAAAAAAAAAAAAAACAACTAAAGAGTAGGCATTCTTTTGACAACTTTCAAAAATAGCTCAGTGCATTCAATGAAACCATCTTTGAAAACAGGAAAAAAGCACTCCCCATCACTCTGCACCTAAGCCCAGTAGGTCGCTGGTGCAGCGAAGGCTTTGCATAAAGGGAAAATGGAACGGCCTGTCATTCTGGTCAGGTCTGATGAAGACCTGCTATTCTGATGTCTGAGGCTGGCTTTTGTGCGTTCCCATGTGCCTTTCCTCCTGTCTCTATACTTTACAAAAAGGCTTAGAAGTTATATTTCCAGCCCAGTGACTCTTTCAGCCACTGCTGGGTTTGGATCGGATTTAGCCCAAGGATTGGCGGGTGACCAGGCCCACACAGTGCCAGGAGAAATGCCAACTCTGCTCCAGCCCTTGCAGACTGCCTGTCACAGGTCATCCAGCCCCGCTGAGGGCTCTAATTGGGAGGAAAGACATCTCTCCTTCCCCAGCCAATTTTTCCACCTTATAATTCAGGGTCTCCACAGGAAGGACAAAGGGGGCTGGACACAGGGCAGGAAGAGGAAGAGGGGCCGAAAAGAAAATACCGAGAACCATTCAAACGTTCTCCCCACCTCAGCTGCTGGACATTAGCCAACGCCTAAGTCTCCCTGGGGAGCTGGGGTGATTGGCTTTGCTTTAGAAAGTAAAGACAGGCAGTAGTTGGTCACAGTGAGAGCAGACTGAGGTTTGCAGCAAGCCTGCGGGCCCTGCAGCAAAGCCCTGCTGTGGCTTCTCCTCCTCGTTCTGACCAGTACAGCTGTGTGGTGAGATGCCAGGACTGCCACCGGTTATGGCATTTGGGGGGGCTGTTTGATTTGTTCCCCTCGATTCTACTCAGATGTGGAGTGCAGATCAGATTGACCAGACTTACAGGGAGTGAGAGCTGATGGAGGGGAAGTCAGACAAAGTACCCTAGGTGTGAGAAAGGTATCACTCTTCCTATCAGAGATAAGATTGGCACCAAGGAGGAATGAAGGCCAAAAACCCGAACCCTGGTGGGTCCCACTCCTGGCCAGTGCGCTGGCTGCTCACATTCACACGCAGTTCCAAATACTACCTCTCTCCACTTGCCCACAGCTGGATGTCTCTCCATTTGCCTTAACTTCTCTAAATCCTGTCCTGGGACATACTGTTCCCTGCTGGTCTTGGTCACTGCCACTGTCTGAGATCTCCTATCCATTGTCCCCGTCACCTGTCTATAGGCCTATTTCATCAACTATCTGCCACAGAGCAGTATCACTGGTCTCTCTCCAAATGACTGCAAACCCCAAGAGTCCTGATACAAAGCAGGCAGTCACCCAGGTGTCTCTGGAGTTCCAAGTTCTGGGCTCTGCACACAGAAGTACTTAACACAAATCTTCGGGTCATTTTCCAAAATGGAAAGAAAACTGAGATTAATATATAGCAGTGACTTATTTGCCTTCAGAGCCACACAGTCATCTTCAAAACCCTCAAAACACCATATGTGGTGTGCAGAGCATGTGAATCAGACACCAATTCCCTCTGAGGATCAATTAGGGTGGCAAGTAACCTTGAACGCTAAGTCACCCAGTCCTCCGTGTGGTAGGAGCAGAACCAAAGGAATGAAAGAGGTGACTGCCAACTCAATGGCTTAAGTGTGACCTGACTCCAAACGGGGGCTGAGCCACCCGCCTGGGCTCTAGCCAAAACAAAGCCAATTGTTCTGTTTCTCACCAAGATGCCCTTGCCGACCTTGGCCACTTGGCCAGCTTCACTACTGCAGATCACACACATCAGCACATTCTGTCCAGGAGTCAGAAGGGCCTGGGGAGTGAGAAGCTTGAAGTCAGACATCCCAGGGACCATCTGAGCATGTGCCATGCTCCATGCTGAGCACTGAAGACCCCAGGAGAGTAAGAACCAGGTCCTGTCCTCAGGGAGTTCATTGTGGAGGGAAAATAAGCTCCTAACACCAAGGGAGAGATGCCACAATGGGACGTTAACTCAGCCGTGACATCTGAATGAATTCTAAACAAGACTAGTCATATTATTTTGTACAAATTACTTAAATTTCCTAAACCTCAGTTTATCTGCAACCATGGGATTGACACTACCTGTATCACAGGTTCTGTGAAGACTAAATATGTAATTCATATGAAGTGCTTACCTTTATTTATCCATAAAATAAATGACGATTCTCACTCTTGTAGCTAACCCAAAATAATGGGATTTTTATGCAGAGGCTTAAACTATGACACCCCAGTTGATTTCTAACTTTTTCTCATGAACATATTTTCAAAACACTCAACCCGTACACATCTGGGAGTCTTTAACCTGTATTTGATTCTTTATTGGAGGATCAGTAGTGTGACCGTATAATTTACTGCCCAAACCAGGATATCTCTGAGAGTAAAAAAAAAAAAAAAAAGGAGGGAGGAATGAATAATAATTCCACTGGAATACCACAGTAAACCAGATGAACCATTTGGGGCAAAATGGAATTAATAGTCACTTTATGCACTGCCCAGAAGACAATTTCATGGTCAAGGCAGGCAGTCATCACTAGGTACACCCTTTCTGCACCACTTTAGAAAGCTGTCCACAAGTTTTGAGAATAGTCCTGACAAAACCTGATGGGGTTTGGATGTGAGACCTCCCCAAAGAAGTTCATGTGTGAGACAACGAAAGAACATTCAGAGGGGAAATGAGTGGGTTATGAGAACCTTAAACCAATCAGTGAATTAATCCCCTAATAGAAATTAACTGAATGGTAACTGGAGGCAAGTGGTGTATGGCTGGATGAAATGGCTGATTGGGGGGAATGGAGTCTCCCTCTGCTTCCAGATCATCGTGTAGCTGCTTCCCTCCACCACCCTCTTCCGCCATGATGTCTGCCTCACCTTGAGTCTCAAGGGATGGAGCCAGCTGTGTATGGACTGAAACCTCTGAAACCGTAAGCCTCGCACCTCCCCAATAAACTTACTCCTTTAAAAATTATTCCGGTTGGATCTTTTAGTTGCAGCAGTGAAAAAGTCAACTAAAACAAAACCTGACTTGGCTGGCCCCATCCAAAAGTCCAGCTAACGGATGCACATAGACACCCCCACTACCTATACACAGGTTCATGCACACAGCTCCTCCCCCAAACCAGAAAGGAATCCAGCCCTGGTTGGTCCTGGCAAGTGCATCTGTCATACTGACGACCAGCTGTCTTCCAGGGATACCAGTTGGCCTTTCTGCCTCCTGAACGCCCCCTGCCCTTACCTCAGGTGTCCCAAGCTGTAGAACCGGGACTCTCCATCAGTGGAGCGGACCACCTGCAGCGTGAACATGGGCTGCAGCTGCCGGAGCTCCAAGAGGACGATGGCCAGGTAATGGATGAAGAGGAGGGCATCCACGAGGGAGACCGCGTATTGCACAATGCCCTGGTAGTTTCGGTCCCGAGAGTCCAAAATACGGACTCCATAAAAAAGCCAATAGGAAACCACAAAAAGGAAGATGAGGACCAATAACAGGGCTCGGAACACAAACACCCGTGGCACGTCGGCTTTCTGCTTGCGGAAGAAAAGGGCCCAGGTTCCGATGAGCAGAATGAGGAGTTTGAATGACACGGAGATAAAGAGTCCCTCGCAGATTGTGCCACAAGGTTCCAGCTCATCCCTCCACAGGATCGGGGGTAACAGGATGAAGGCAATGGGGGTGAGGAAAACTAGGAGTCCCAGAAACGAGGCGATGGTGAGGCCCAGGTAACGTTTACAATCCAGCCCCACACTGTCCTCCATGTCCTTGCTGATCCTGGCAATGTCCTCTTGGGATATGCTGTGCTCTGAGGTGCCCGTGATGGCTGTGGTGGTCTCTCCCCAGTTGTCATCCTGATGGGAGAGGCGACAATGAGGATGATGAGCCCAAAGAAGCAGGTCATTTGTAAAAGCCACCAGAAGACACAGTGTATGTGGAGAATGCACCCCATTTACCCAACTCTACATGCTGGGCTTTCTAGAAAATGGGAACTGAATAAACATGCAATAGAAGAATTTTAAACCTTAACAATTTTCACTGAAATCTTCAACATGTATCATGTATTTATCTTTTTTTAAAAAATTTTTATACCATTTATTTATTTATTTATTTGATACCAGGGATTGAACCCAGGGGCACTTAAGTCACATTCCCCAGCCCTTTTAATTTTGTATTTTGAGAGAGGGTCTTGCTAAATCATTTAGGGCCTCTCTAAGTTGGGGAGGAGGGCTTTGAATCTGTAATCCTCAGCCTTAGCTTCCCTAGCTCTGCTGGCTTGTATTTACCTTTCCAAACAGAGAAAAACATAATTAAATCTTTGTATTGTTTGGGTGATTCATTAGCATAACTCTGATTACCATCCCTGGCCGTTGACAAGTCTCAAGAAGCTCTGGGCCTGGGGCTATTTGCCCTGCAATAAAGACCCAGCTGTTGGATTAACCTTGTGAGAGATCACTTACAGAAGAAGCTCCCTGTGTTTTCCTCCTAATGCATGCGGACCTCTAAAAGCTTACAAAGTCCAAATTCTGGAAGTGGGGAACATTACCACACACTCCAATAGCTCTGTGGAGCAATAGCTCTGTGGCACAGAAAGGGAACTTACATCACTATAGAAATTCAAGCTCACCTGTGGCTGGTACATGCATTTAAAAAAAAAAAAAAAGCTCTGTATGATGTCGTAAGACCCTCTCAGGAAGTAGCACTATAAATATAAAGCACTTGCTGACAGCAGTTTTCACTGACCAAACTAAGCAAATTCAAGAATCTATTTATGCCAGGACAGCTCAGAAATTCTTTCCAAAACACATGTTCGGGGCAAACTAAACACCTAGAGCATACAAATAACCAGCATTATTGTCCTGTAGTTTTACTCTCTTGCTTTCTCTCTCTCTCTTTTTTAAACTTCTAGGTAGTTGCTAGCTGGAGCAATTAGTCTATTCATTTAACAAGATCCTGTTGTTAGGGTCTCAAACACGCCTGCTATTTCCCTAGCAGCTGTGACTTCATTCCAAAGCACAATAAAGCAAGAAGGGACCAAAAAGCTATGAAGTCCAAAGAAGTTTTGCCTCAGAGATTTGTGCATATGATTTATCTCTCTCTCTCTCTCTCTCTCTCTCTCTCTCTCTCACATACACACACACACACACACACACACACACACACACTGAGTCACAGCAGCAAGATGGGTAAAATGAGGACATCAACTTAAAGAAATCTACTCAGGTATACAGATCTCTCATAATCAAATAACTCCAAATCTAGTAATGATTAAAAAACAAAACAAAATGACCCATGACTTATGAAATGGACAGGCTAGGTTTAGAGGTGACAGTGGTGGTAAAGGTCCTAACCGATGAACAAAAGACCTTCATCTTGGAAAATGAGAAGTATATAAAGGCCAAGAAGTATATAAAGGCCATTCCTACGAATAACCAGAAGCACCCAGGACTCTTGGACATCACTGGTGGACGTGTTAAGTTGATAAAACACTTTTGGAGAACTGGCCTGGCAGTTTCACAGAAATCTGAATACACCCTTAACTAGGTGACCCAGCAAGTCTATGCCTAAGCTTTACCCCCAATTAATTAGAACATATGTCCCCAGAAGATTTGTACAAGAATGTTCTTAAATGCTTTGTTTGTGAACAGCCAAAGTGGTGCAACTCCAATGTCCACCCACCAGGAGAACAGATAAAAAAGAATTGCAGTAAATTCATACAATAGAATACTACTCTGCAAAAAATGAAAAAGAATGAACTGTTGAAACATATCAAACCATGGATAAATGTCAAAATCATGCTGAGTGAGGAAAAAAATCATATGATTCCAATTACATTAAATTCTAAAACAGACAAAACTCATCCAACAGAGATAGAAATCAAAACAGTGGTTGCCTTGGAGAGGTGGAGATGGGGATAGGGATTGACCAGGAAAGGCCTGGGAGAATCTGTGGAGAAGAGTGTGGGTTGTAGAGGTGAATTCATCTATGAAGACTCACTGAAATGTTTAAGATCTGCTTTATTTCTCTGTGTATACATTTAGGTCAATTTTTTTTAAAAAAAGAAAAAATACATCAGCCAGGGAGAAAGATACAAATTCAAAGACAAACAAATTTTGCTTAATAACAGGTGAGTTCACAGTCTATAGGAAACAATTTACTTTGTAACCCTCTTCATAAAGACAAACACTGGCTTCCAGATTTGTATCAGGGCTAGGAAAAAGTTGCAAATCAATGCTGAAGTAATTATTAGTACCTTGTGATCATTTTCTTGCCAACCACATTGCTCTGATGTAGCTGTTCATTTTTTTTTTTTTTTTTTTTGCCAAAGAGTTACTAAATCTCTTGTCCAGTTTAAGAATTTGTGCACATCTGTGCCTAAAACAAAATGTACATGTACAAATGTTTCTCCAAAGCCTGAGGTTTTTAGAACAAAAAGGAATGAACTCCTCTAATCCAATCCTCCAGATTTTCAATGAGGCCAGCAGAGGCCCACTCCACTTGACTGCCCAAGGTAATACAGCTATTGAGGTATACAACCTCTGAATGCTTTCCCCACCGCATCACCCTGCAGTAAACATCAACAGCTTCCCAGTGAGTACACGGTGTAGAGAAGCTACAAACAAAGAAATGTCTTCATGGCATTTAGCATCCACTTCCAGGAGAAAGCTGAGTCCTAAAGCACTTAATGAAGGTCCAGTCCTAGGACTGGCCCCATTGGTCCATCTGTTCATCTGTCCATTCATCCATCCATCCATCCACCCAACCACCCATCCTCTCAGAGCCAAGGCAATCAGTGCAACAGTTCTAAAGGCATTTGCTCATCACTGAACAAACCCCACATTCAACCCACGCCTGCATTTTGGGATCCCAGAGCACCATGTGTGCTCTGAGGAACTGCCAGTTCTGTCCGTGGATGTGACTATAAGCGCCTATCTCTGTGCACCTACAGTTGTATTCAGATACAGGCTTATCTTCAGCCCTCTATCTTTACAGCTGTGTGTGCACACTTGGCTTTGTTTGTGTGAGGCAAGGCTGGACACGCATGTGTTTCAGGAGGTGCAGCGGTTGTGCAAGCATGCTTCTGAGTCTAGCTCAGATGTTGATTTAAGTCAACAGGCTGCCAGGCAGGGGCCCAGAGAAGAACCCAAGTGATATCTTCAATAAAGAAATAAACTGACCATATTTCAAAATTGGGTGATTTCCTAATCACCCTAATGCCTGGCTTTTCTTTTCTTTTCTTTCTTTCTTTTTTAATATTTAGTTTTTAGAAGTAGTTGAACACAATACTTTTTATTTTATTTATTTTTTTATGTGGTGCTGAGGATCGAACCCAGGGCCTCGCACCTGGTGGGTGAGTGCTCTACCGCTGAGCCATAACCCCAGCCCCCTGACTTTTCTTAAACACTGCAACACCCATCAGCACTTAGTCCTTGCATTTCCAAGCAGCAGGAAGTCTCTGGAGCTGAGAGAGCTGCTGTCCCTTAGAAGAGGAAACAACTTCTCCAGTTCGTCATAGATCCTTCTCTCCATCCCAAGGTCTTCATGCTGAGGGATCACAGAGGCCATTACCACCCAAAGCTTGCTTGATATATACCTGTCCCTTCTCTTTGATCCAGGTGGTACCTCATTCATCCTGTTTCCCTACCAGGCCTGAGTGTCCAGCCCCTGGTTTATTTCACATGTCCAGGAGTACATCTGAGCTGTCCTAACTTCTTTCCTCATCTTCCCAACACTACTTAGCCTTGTTGGAGACGGAGATTCCTTCCCTAATACTGTTCCATTTTGGAAGGAGTCTCCGGAGACTCCAGCCTGGAACTTTTCCCTTCCCTGCCCCGTCGTCAGCAGTCCTGGCTTCTGTCCAACACCATTCAACGCAGGCCAACCAGTCACACTTCAGGAGAATCCCCAAGCTATCCAATGGCGGGACAGGCTGTCCTTAGACCAACAAGAAACCACAGGACATAGATAAACTAATTAACATGCTAGAAAAATAAAGGTTAAAAACCCAAGAGAACCTATTGCAACAGGACTTAGGAAAACATTTACAGAAAAGAGACGTGGTCAAGGGGCAGCAGTATACTTACAGACCACCTGTGAGCCTTACCTGAACTTCCTCGGTCCGAGTAGAATCGTTTGCCAACAGGGGCTCTCCGGTGGGAGCCTGAATGGTGACAGATTTTTCTGACCCTCTGCCATCTTTATTTCGGGGTGATTTGTGTCTCTCTCTAGTTCTCTCCCTGGGGGACAAAAAATGATAACAGCGAGCACATTTCATGTCACAGTAATTAACTCTCTGGTTCATCAAAATGCATTATATGTTTCATTTTGAATTTAGGAAAATCGTATACACACACAGCACCAATACCCACCCATCCCCACCCCCTGCAAAGAGTAAAGTGTCCTTTATTCCCTACTTAGTATTTTCTTTCTGCCATTCCAAGACCTGACACAAAGACTGTCACTCCTCCTCTATCAACAGTGGTCTTAATTTTCCAGAGCCTCAAATTTTTCAATTCCTGAAATGGAGGCACATTTTATGGTAATAATTACTCACTTGACTTGGTTATAATTTGCCCAAGTTAATTTTCTAGGATTTTATTGGGCCATCACTTTAGAATATCTAAGCTTTGTTCTACCCCCCAAAAAATCTGGGACACATTGTCACCCTATACTTTTGGACAAGAGAAAAAAGGAAACTCTAAACCAGGACAGAGAATCATTTTCTCCTAATTCTTACGAATTCCAAACTAAAAGTCATTCCCATAGGTTCTAGGTGAACTCAAAGACACCCGCAGAAACAAACAAAGCTAGGACAAATGACACCCAGGAGTGTGTGTGTGTGTGTGTGTGTGTGTGTGTGTGTGTGTTCAGGCCTCCTAAGGAGAGCAGACTGCGGCATACTTTCAACCCAGATGAACTTTTCTGGGTGGTCTCCCATGCTGACTGAAAGGGCACCCCACTGTGGGGGTTAATATTGAAGTTACAAATCAATCAATCACTGTGGCCAAGCCCAGAGGTCACAATCTGGTCAATAACCACCTATGGAAAGTAGCACTCTAGCCTCCAGCTGCCAATGGTGAATCCAGGAGCGACCCAGCAATAGAGCCAGCCCCTCAGTGGTCAATAGTCAATAAGTTCCCTTAGCCTCTTGTCCCCATAGGCCACTTGACCACTTGCCCTCATTCCCAAGACAGGGAAAGCATTGCACATAAAGGTTGTGCAAAGAGTCCAATCTTGATCTGTCCCTACCAGATGTGCGACCTTGCACAACCTCTAAAACCTCCATCTCCTCATGTAGGAAATGGGGAACAATAAAAATAGATAATGTACATATGCCCAGTACATAGTAGCCACTGTGGCCTACTGTTATAATAATATCACTACTATTATTAAAGACCAAGAATGGTTTCTTGACTTTGTGAAGCAGAGTTTGTTACCTTGGAGAAAGAGATGTAAACAGAACCATCAACACATCATCAAACTCCCTTCCTTTCCACACAGATCTTCTACTAACCCACCATTTAGCAAAACAACAACAACAAAAACCCAAAAAGCAAAAACTGCCATGTGCAGGTTTCATGTCAAACTTGTACCTTATCATAAGCATTGGATAATTCTTTCTAAGAACCAAGAGGCACCCATGGCTGCAGAGGATCTTTCAATAAAAACAGTTCTATCCCTAGAATAGAACTAGGAATAGACAGATTCTGGTTAACTCTTTATTTCAACCAGGCAACTAGGAAAAAAGTCATATAAGTGGCGAATTTGTTCACCCAAAGATATTACAACACAACGTCAATCATCTTTGTCCCCATTCCAATTTCAAAGCACTTCACTATGTGCTTGATAGTTTCACTCAATCCTAGCTATAATCCTCTGAGGCCAGTATTACTGTTCCCATTTTACAGATGAGAAAGCTGAGGTCCATGGAATTTAAGTGACTTCCCAAAGGTGTAGGAAGTGGCAGAGTAGTATCCAAATCCAGGTCTGTTGCCACTATCTCTATTCAAACCCACGATGCTACAGTGTTTTGAAAAACAATTTGGAAGATTTTACAGCATAAAATTCCCGATGCTCACCCTCATACCCTCACATATGTCAAAGCTACAAGAGCTATGAATTACGCCTTAAAGATACTACTAGGAGTCCTGATTGCACTGTGACCTTAGATAGCACAAAGTTGTGTGCCCCACACTCTCTGTTGTCTAATAGGATCATTTAAAAAGGTACTCCGTGTGAGAAGCAATAAACAACGTGGGAGAGATTCGCCCATGCATGGCCAGTTTTCAGAATGAGTCGTCAGACAAGGGCCAGAACTGTCTCTTTGGTAGGTCGTACCTGCAGCCAGACATATTCCCTTCTTACTCTTACTGCTGCCACATTTATCATTGCCGCGGCCGTCAGCCAAGTCACATGCTTCCCTAACCCATCTCTCTATTCACAAGTCCCATGGGTCAAATCCTGTGACAGCACAAATTCCACTGGAAATCAAAATCTTTCACTGAGTGCCAATTCCTGGATCCTGCACACTAGCAGGGCAGAGAGCAGGTGGGGGAACCGCCCAGGGCTGGAAACAGACTCTCTGCTCTCTCCCAACCCCCAACCCACCCAGCCTGGCTCCTACAGAAACCAAGAGGACCCAGACAGGGAACGACTGTCTAACAACTACCCTGGTAACATCTGAGGAAAACCAGATAAGAACCCTTAATCTGATAACTTGAGGGGAGTTTTCCATCCTCCAGAGCCAGAAACCAGTGCCTCTCAAACACCAGTGTACAGAGAATCCACTTGGGGTGCAGATATAGGTAGACTGGCAGGCTCCACCATCAAGGGATTTATCTGGAAGGGATATGATAGGAATCCATATTTTCCACCAGCTTCTCAGGTGTGCAGGATGTAGGCAGTCTAAGAAATTTCCCCCAAGATTCTCCAACCCAACTGGCCCTGGGCAGGGGGCTACTGGAGTGACAGAGTATGCCTTGCACACAGCAGGGGCTACATAATGGGAGCCACGAGCCTATGCTCAGCTGCACCATGACACAACGCACAGTGCTTCCTTATTAAAATAGTGCAAAGTAGGTGAAGGACAGTGTGCAACCAGGAATGAAGGCTGCCCAGAGCCGAGAACTTTCCACGCAGGATGTTATGGTTTGGACATGAAGTGCTTCCTACAAAGCTCCTGTGTTAAGGCAAGAAGAGCCAGAGGTGAAATGATTGGGTTGCGAGAGCCGTAACCCAATCAGTCCATCCTAGTTTGAATGGACTAATGGTTTAATGTTGCAGGTGGGGCATGGCTGGAGGAGGTGTGTCACTAGGGGCATGCCCTGGAGGGGTGCACCTTCTCTGTGGCCCCTTCCTGGCTTCTCTCTCTCTTTCTCTCTCTGCTTCCCAGCCACCCTGCCCTAAGCAGCTTCCCTCACCATATCCTTCTGCCATGATATTCTGCCTCACCTTGGGCCTAGAGCAGTGGAGTTGGCCCACCATGGACTAAATCTCTGAAACCAGGAGCCAAAATAATCTCTGCCCCTTTAAGTTGTTCTTGTTAGGTATTCTGGTCACAGTGACACAAAGCTGATAACACATAGGTCGATTGAGGGGAACACAGAGCAGGTCCTATCAGTGCACCTACATTGTGCCAGGGGGTCGGCTCTTTGTATTGGTCTTGTTATGAAGGAAGCACACAACCCACCATACAGCTTTCACAGAAATCACTACTCCTGCATGACTGTTCCAGGTACTAAGTCAGGGTAGGATTTAAGAGCGACTTCCAACAAAAATATTGCCATCCATCCAGTGCTTTCCAGTCTGCAGAACTGCAAGTGGCCACCTCCTGGCAGCAGGGGCCCAAATGCTCTCGATGCTGTCACTCCAAGGAATCTCTAAGGCTTCCAAGTTTCCTCTGGGAAAGTATTCCCCATTCATGGAGACAATGGGTCCACGTGTCTATGAGCATGGCAATAGGAGATCAGAGGAGTAAACAGTTTACCAAACCAATGAATGAGGTGTTACAAATAAATACATACTTATGACAGACTTTTCCAACTTGGCCTAATTGGTTGGATCACCTATGTGCCTTTGATGAGCAGCTGTATCATCTAAGGGAATCTTCATATCTCCATCTCTAAATCTATCCCCACACACCCTCTGCCCATATAAGCAAAGATAAGTATATTTGTGTGTGTATGTGTGTGTACACGTGCATTAGATGGTGGGAAGAACAAGCAGCAGTGTGTAGGAGGCACCTACAAATGTCTGCACCTTTGTGTGTATATAAATGCATCTATTGAGGCCAATTCTGGAGCTGAGCTCTTGGGGGCTGCTGTAACCAACCCCCTCAGTATGTAGCCAGAATCCTCTAATTCCCATACTGTTTCCACTTACTCTTGGAATTTCCTGGGAAGATTATTTACTCTTGTTTCTGTTGTTTGTGTATTTCTATTTGGGGAAAGCCAGCCCCACCGGTTACTCCTCCCTTTCCTTCTCCACCACCACCCACTACCTGTCCTCTCTCTACTGACTGCTGGGTCTGGCTGGCTGCTTCCTCTGGGCCCTGCCTGGGGTAGGAGGGCTGAGCACTGGGCAAACTGGAACTGAAGTGGCCTCAGAACAAAAGTACCATTTTCTCCATTGTCCAGGCAGCCCTTTTTGGACGATGCACCTTAATACATCAGTCACACCAGCTGCCCTTCACTTCCCTTGCAAAAGTGGCATTTCCTTTCTGAAGGATCATGAGCCTGAAATCTGTAGGGTGCCTCTACAAACCTTGTAACTTCAGGCAACAATGCCTTGGTTTCATCATCTGTAACATGGGCTACCACCTCCCACCCTCCTAGGACGGCTGTGACCATGGGAGGAGCCAGCAGGGACTCCCAAAGTGGCTGTTCATATTATTGGCAGCTGCTGTGTTTAAATTAGGAAACTTACGCTCTGAACCCCCGGGTTAGGTAAGGTGGGCTGAAGTTAACTGGACAATCTCTGGAGACCACAGGCATCACCAAACCAGGCCAACAGCCTCTTTGCTACAAGAGTCACCTGTCAGCTCTCCAAGATGATCATGATGTCATCAAGCATACCATGTTTGGCGCACTTTATTATTCCTGAGTTGAAATCGTACTAAAATTACCAAATCGACAAGGCCCTCCCCTTTCTTGCTCTTCCATTCAAACACCTGACAGGGCACGGAGGATAGTAACCTGCCCAGGGAATCTCCTGGGACAAAATAGATGTCCTTGGCTGTGTCTCAGGCCTGCTCTCATGCCTGTGGAAGGTACAATTACTGCTTAACATTCTTTATGCCCTAGCAAAGCACTCCATAGCACACATTATCTGTAGATCACAACTCCCCTCCAGTTTCTGTACCCGGCTTTGCCTACAGTCAGACAATTCACCCCCAAGGATAATGGTGTTTTGTAAAGAACCATGAAATGCACCTCCAAACCCCTTGTGCTCACATTGCTCCACTTAGAGGTCCTCTCGGAGCAGCATTCAGTACAATTCCTTGAGTAATTGATCAGAAGCCTCGGCTTGTATTAACATTTGCCAAGTACTTTCCACATAGGTCCAAGAAGGCACTGAGAGTTCTGTGTGTTGTTTTAATACAAAGTTATAGTTCCTGGAAGTTCCCACAACTGAACTGGGCTATCAATTTCTGGGGTCTCCAAGAGGCAGAGAGCAGCAAAGGGTCCCAAAGCGTGGAAGTCAGAATACAAGTGTAGACAAAAGGGGCCAGAGCTGGTTCCAATCCTGTGAGCTGTCACCCGTATTCATCCCCAAGTTTCAAAAGCACCCCAAATTCCTACTTCCATCACTGTGGCGTGAAAGAGGAGAGCCCGGAATGTTGACGAGGGAGTGGCTTTTCCCACTTAGGTCCAGAGTTGATATTTCAAAACAGCCGCTTCTGGTGTGTCATAACTAATCTGGTAAGTTCACCCACTGGTGGAAATTTGTGATTGGATTTTTATCACCTGAGGTTTCTAGCTCTCTCAGGACCTGGGCTCTGGCATGTGACTGCAGGCTCCCTCGCCCCACCCCTGCAGCAGCCACACTTGAGCACTTCTGCTTTCTTTTCTGATTGGAAAGGCCAACCTGGGCTCCAGTGCAAAGGGTCAAATATGTATGACTATAAGAGCCATGTATAAAAACTCAGAAATTAATGAAAGTTTAAAAAGAAAGTTAGCCACCCATAATCCTATACTCAGAGACAGGCTTGATTAATACTGATCTTATTATGTGTAGATAGAACTATATAAGACACAATGTTTTGAATCCCATTTTTTTAATAACATGGTCTTGTGACATTTTTCTCATATCATCAAATAATCTTTGAAAACCTTTCCTTTGTACTTTCTTATTCATTTTTTTAATCACAAAAGACATACTTATAAAAAAAATTGAACAACTACAAAAAGACAGTATAATTGAAGGTCCCATCAGTCACCATCTGTGGCTGACCCCCTTCCCTGGGAACGACTACTCTTGGCAGCTTGGAGAATATGCTCACAGATCTCTTTCTGTGTGTGTAGATCCACCCAGGCTCATAAATAAATTAGCAAATTTGAGATGCACAAAACAAAAGCTCACTCTGCAACGGTTGCTTGTGTGGAGAGGGAAACAAACACCAGGAGCCACCGTTCCCACGCTAGTGCAGAACTGTGGCCATGGTGGGCTCTTGGGCTGGGATCAGTGGGTACCTTAACACCGTGGTGCCATGACAAGGGACTGGTTAGCAACCTCCAACTACAGTGCTAGTTTAAATGCTTTACATAAATTAAGATTAAATCTTGTTTAATCTTCTTAGAATGCTGTAAGGAGGGGATCACTGTACCCATATCACAAATCAGGAGAACAGGATAAATGGCAGCACTGCAATTTCATCAGCTCTACTCTCAACCAGCACAGCACCCCCTATGTATTAATTTATTTCTTCTATCATTCACTCGTCTTCCACTCAGCAAGTACTCTGTGGGTCAGTAACACGCAGGCCCTGTGAATACCAGTGCAGACCTGCCATCACATTGTAGAGGAGGGAGAAACTGGCCCCATCACCCCAGACAGTGCTTTCAAAACCCAGGCTTTACTTGGAAGATTAGTCAAAGAGAAATAAGGGGCCTGGCCAATCACGCGGGTTTGCGTGTGAGCCTCATGGCAAGGCATCATGGACAATGAGTCAGCAGCCTGGGGTGACACCCACAGATCAGCACAAGTTTTTAAACTTTTCATTTGCATTATTGGTAAAACTGACATCTAGAAGTACCTAGAAATGAAGAACATTCCCACGGCCGGGGAAACTTTAATTTAAAACCAATTGTGAGAAATTTAGGTCATCAACAGTAATGGTGGCTATAAAATGTAAATTGGTGGTATAGCGACTCCCAACACATGTCAACCGTGTCCAGCTTCTCATGCACCGGAGGACTGAACCTCCAACATGAACAGCCCTGCAAGCAAGCGGTTTGAAAACTGAGTCTAGAAAGCTCCAGCAGCCTGCAGTTTTCCCCAAACAGAAAAGTGGAACAATTGACAGCTTACATACCCTTGTCTGTGAGATTTTTTTGAATGGCTTGAATAGTATGAATATCCAGAATATGTGGATTCGGTATCCATAGCAATGAACAGCTTCCTCTTGATGAAGGAGCAGGTGCTGTTTCTCCTTCAAGGCAGATAATTTCACCTACTGGTTCCTAAAGCCTCAAGGGGTCTGGGAACCAGAGGAGGAGCTTCTCTTCACCAGGAACAAATTCTGGGAAAGAGGAAAGAAAGAGGGATCAATCTTCAAAGCCAATCTTAACTGGGCTGAAGGATAACGGACAATAGTCACCTCTTCCCAGGTGCCTAGGATGGGTGTCAATTGAGCCAAATCCCATCCCAGCAGCAGGAAGATGGGTGGTGGGAGAGCCAGGGCAGTGGTCCATTTCCTGAGCACAGCCTCACCCTCACTGGCTTTAGCTGTAGGAAGTGACTTCTCACACCAATGCTAGACAGAATGCCCAGCCCCCCACTGCCAGTTAGTTGAATAAATAAACAATACTTAGGGAAGTAGCTTTTGGGTCATAATTTCCAAATGTCAATTTAAAAACAAATTCTCTCTCTTAAATTGAAGAATCCAAACACTTAAAAATTTACTTTAAAGACCTAATTCTTAAAGAAGAATAATTATTCCCTGTCTCTAATACTAAAAAGCTAAAAACAATCTAAATGACCGCCCCCCCCCCCCAAACAAAGGAATCAGTAAGGAAACTCATGGTTCATCTAACCAAAGAAATATCACATATCTGTACAAAGTGATAATGATAAAGAATGGAGACTTTTATGATGAATGACAAATTCACAAAGCAGGACACAGGATTGAAGATGCACGCTGAGTCTAAACATTACAGTTATAATCACAGAAAATAGCTTATGTAAGAAAAAAGAATTAAAAGAGGACATCAGAAAATGAAAGGCCATGATTGATTGATTGCAGGCTCCTGGGTCCTTCCCCACACTTTCATTAGGTATTGCTTTGCAATAAAAATAAATTGGAAACATTTCCAAGTACATTCCTGAGTCCCCACTTGCTAAAGCTTTACTTCTAGGAAATTCTGTCTCTCCCAGCACCCCTCCAGAGCTGGACTCCGCCCAACAGGGCTCCTCCTTCCAGCGCCCCTGGAAGCTGAAACTGCAAACACAGCCAGTGAGATAAGTGTGAAGAAAACACAAAGGAGTGGCAAATGCCATACCCCTACCCCTACTGGGAGGAGGCCCAGTCTCCCTGACCCCAGCTAGCAACAAGTGTCTGAAGGGAATCTGGCGGGTTGGGGCATGAATTGGGCCTGCATGTCACATCACCACACACCAACCCACTCCCCAGGGCTTCGAATACTGATTAGGATGAGACTGTCCTGACTAATTGTGCAAGGTCTGTCTGCTACCCAGGGTAAGCCTCCTTTACCCAGGGTATCCTGACTCATCGTTTCACTTCTCCCAGGCCATGAAGTCCAAGGCGAGCCCTGAGGAAGCCTAGGTTCCAGCCCAAGCTCAGCCATGTCTTACAACCTGGGATAAGCCACTAGCCTTCTTGAGCCTTGTTTTGCTAAACAGGGATAAATCAACTAGGCACCACCCTCACAGGGCTAACATGAAGACCCAAGCAGATATTGTAGTATCCAGAGCTGGTTGCAACCCCATACTTGACTCACTTCCTAGCTACAAGACCTCAGTGAAATGATTAAACCTCTGAACTTGCAAATGGCAGGATGGCTGTAATGAGCAAACATGGCCAGGCACAGGGTGAATGAAAATTGGAGGCCATCAACACTCCCTTCAATGGTTCCAAACTCCAAGTTCCCCTTGTCCTCAGTGAGAGAAAAGCTTGGGAAGGAGCCGTGGGGGAAGAGCCTGCGTGGGAGGCTTCCCACCCTGAGGCTCACCTGCAGTCCACCACTTACTAACCAGTTTTGCACTTGAGCTTAACCTTGGAGCCACAGGTTTCCCACCCCAGACCCTCTTTGGGGGGCGGGGGTAACTGTAAAGATTAAATGTGAAATACAACAGGCATTTAAGAAAATGTTAGTTTGGCTCCTGTTAGTTTCCACCTTTCTGGAAACTTCAAGAGCACCTTTTTCTCTCCCTGCTCCATCTCCTACCATTATCACTAGGCGTTCCAGTGAGCTCTCAGCATCTTACAGTCTGACTTCCTTTCTGCTCCAGGTTTTGGTGCTTTTTTACCAGCTTCATACCTGGCAGACACCAGCCTTGGGAGATGCAGCCAATCTGTGCAGCCTGGAATGAACTGAGTCTCTTTTCCTGAGAGCCCATGGCCCACTCCCTGTTGACCTGCATGTGTCAAGAAAACTGACCACCCTTTTTCAGATTCATAATTAACCGTGCAGAACTCCTACACTCATTTCTGCCTTTCAACCATAATCCTTAACTCCTTGTTCCACCCTAATATCGAATGTTTTCTTGCTAAATGCTGAGGGGTATCTAAGAGGCGGGCAGCCTAGGCTCTGCACACCAGTGCTGATCCTGTCTCCATGCTTCCCAACCGTGACACCACAGGTTAGATGTTGACCTATCTGAGCTTTCAAAGTTCCACCCATCCACAAAGATCCCCAAATAAAATGAGGTTTATTTAATACTCTCTTTCAAGGGCCGTTGGTAAGGATTAAATGGTGGGGAGCCTCTAGCTCAGAGAACCCAAGTTTCATTCTCTTCCCCCGCTCTGCCAAAGGTCATCATTCTTTATTCTCGTTAAAACCTTGACTATCCATTAGGGCAACTTCAGGCACGTCTCTCAAAGGAAATCACAGCCCCCAAGTGCCCTATGGGGAAAGGCTTTTCCTAACTCTACCAACCCCCATGCCCAGTTTCTCTCCCACGCTTCCTGACCATACTTGCCAAAGGGGGATCTGTACATGCTGTCACTCCCTGTCACCACCAAATCCTCCATCCTCACCTCTCCACGGAAGCAACTCACTGCAGTTGCCCAGAGACTGCTGTGAGCCAAATCCAAAGATCAAACCTGTCATCCTTCTCCAAGTCCTTCTTACCCAGGTGATCCATTTATTCACCTCTATATTTAAAGAGTAGCCATGAAAGAATACTCTCAGCAAGGAGAGGGGTATAACAATGACAGAGACACACTGCTGTCCTTTGGGACTCTGCTCCTGGCTGTCTTCCGATTCAATGGCACTTGTACCTCTACTACATCTCCAAACGTGTCCTCCCTTCTCCTGTTAGGTCATCCCTTGACACTCAAAACATGCACCATTATTACTCTCCATCTGTGGATTTACTATGGTACAGGCTCTTTGGAGGCTGTGCCATACTTTGATCATATAGGTCCCCAACAAATAATGCCTGAAGGACAAAGCCCAGATGAATATTTCCTGCTTGGATATTTCTTGTTCCATTTGGGATTATCACCACCCCCTGCTGCTCTCTCAAGTCTTGGCCTAATCTTTCTAATTTCCTCTGCTGCAGTGATACCATCATCCTATTCATCTTATGAACCCAACCATATACCATTTGGGGAACACTCACTTCCCTTTATCCCACACCTCCGACCACTGTTAAGCTCTGCTGGTCCAGGGTACTACCTTCATGCTGCTGGTTCACAGTAACACTACGCCAACCTTAGCAAGACCTCTGGGTTTCCTCAGTTAATCCAGTCAGTGAAGAACCTGGCTCTTCTTCTAAGTCAGACTGTTAAGACTGTGGTTACCAATTCGTGTTCTAAGATCTGAGTGAGGATTAAGGAGAAGCAACAGGTAACAAACTAATAAAATCCACAGTGCACTCATTTTAAAAGAGGGTTTGAGCTCAGGTTAAGAGCTTCGATCCAGTTAATAAAGAAGCGTATCCTAAAGCTGATCCCTGCAAAGACATATTTATGAGACAGTTCCCTGTATGCACCAGGAATTGACAGCACTCACACAAGGTCAGAAGGGATCCCTTATCAGGGAAGATTCTAAAGTATAAAAAGGAATCAGTTTCCCTGGGTAATAAGTTTACAGGCTGCTGCACCAGTCTGAATGCATGGAGTCATTCAAAGGAGAAAATTTGGACCCTAAAATCTGGAACTGCCTCCTTATTGTACCCGTCACATGACCTATTTTGTTTGGCCCAGGCTGGGCAGCAGTCAGAGGCCAGAGTGACCTTTAAAATTACAATGCAGACATCACTCCCCTGTTTAAAACAACTCCATGGTCTCCCCCTGAATTTTGAATAAAATACAAAATCTTCCATTTGATCTCAATGTCCTGCCCACCAGGTTCCTCTAAGGCACGGGCTCTTTCCAGCCTCCTATCTTTGGCAGAATGCAGTGTATCTGCTGGTATTCACTCTTCACATGCCCAGTTTTGCCCAATTCCTCTGAATTTAAATATAGCTTCTTCCAAGGGGCCTCTCTGATCCTCCAATCTAAATCAGGCCCTTCCCAGAACCCAGCACTCTTCCTATCCCAAAATTTCTACCTACTTTTGCTTGTATGGTTATTCAGTGTCGGGCTCCTGTATGGACTATGAGCTTCACAGGGTAGGAACCACTTCCAGTACTCTCTCTCCAGTTCCTAGAATATAATCAGTATCCAATAAATGTTTGCTAAATGAATACTGGGTTCTGCAGCAGATCTTAGGACACAGAGGCATATATTCACTGTGGAAAAATCCTTGCAGAAGTAGATACAGTAATGGTGTCAGAACTATGGAGAGTTGTAGCCACACCACTGGCTCACACCAGAGTTCATATTCCAGATGCATCCTGACCCTCCTGTCACCCACCCCTTAGAAGCTACAGGCACTGCTTGGTAAGGGGTGGAAGCCCACATCCGGACAGGAAGGGAACTCTTCAAGCTACAACGCATGCCAGCAAGAGGAACACCATTTAGACAGGTGCACAGGGTGCTTTTTTCTTAGTGGAAGTGCCTTGAATTCTGGAATTCCCAGGCAAAAAGGCCCAAAGGACCTCTTTCACCACCCTTTATTCAGAGCAAGAAAAGGTCAGTGGCCTCAAATAGAATCTTCCCCTAAAGTCATGTTCACTCACATAAAATACACCTGACTTCTGACTTGAAAGAAAAACAGTGCTCAGAAAATCATGAGGGAAATAATAGGTTATGGTAATGACAGTGGTAAACATAAGCTAATCTTCATGAAAAGCAAATTATAAAAACATCAACAGCTTTGCCTAGAGCTATTAAGTAATTAAGGGGGCTTTGGTTGGGAGGATAGAACATAAACTGTGCAAGAGGTACAGAGATGTACACGGAACTTCAAGAGTCAGCCTGCTCTCCCAGAGGTGGATGCATTTCCAAGGGAAAGCATAAAGCACAGTTTATGTATCAACTGTGTTTATATATACTATGTGCATTACTTTGAATATTTTATTTTTACCATACATAGAATTCTAAGGGTTCACTCCATGATTTATTGTTTATATTTTGAAGTGAATATTTTGCTCCAAGCACACACTTTTAATTATATAAGCCTCAAGGGGAAAATAACAACTTAAATAATTTTGTTTAGAGCCAACTTTTCCTCCAGAGAAGACTAGCTTATGAGCCCAGATTCTGGAGTTAGACCATCGCCATTCAAATCCTGGCTCAGGGTACTCTTTAGCTGGGTGATCTCAGAGCAAGCTACTTTTCCATTCCTCAGTTTCTCGACTGTGATAACAGAATTACATTTTTCACTTACCTTACAAGTTTACTGTGGGTATTAAATGAAATGATTCCAAAAAATCATTTAGAACACTACCAAGCACAGGGTAAGCACAACCATCGACTATAAATTCAGTAAAGTGAAATTCCTGGGTTAGGAAGAATACCTTTGAGTGGCATATGACTTAACATACCATTTTCATTGAATTTTTACGTGTATCATTTTGGTTTGATAGTCAACTTTGAACAACTATTATTAACTGTGGCTAAGTAATTTAATAATTTCTACTCTGCCCCTTGCAAGCCTCCTCAGGTTGGGAGTGAATGTCAGATACATTAGAGAACGTGGTGTGGGTGTATCTGGAGGACCACAAGGTTGAGTGGAAGAGTTCAGAGAAGGATGACAAGAACTAGAAAACATTTTTCTGAACCTGTGTCCTAAAACACTGTCCAGGTCACTGGCATGAGGATCTACAGGGCCTGTGGCACTTGTGACATACCTAATAATCCTTTCATGGCAACAGAAGTCTTATAAATGAATGATTCTGGGCCACTATTCACATGGAGAGAAAATATCAACCTCCTTTTACCTGTCTTGCCAATGATTTCAACTCACCTTCCCAGAATAACTGCTCCTGGCTTAAATCATTAATTACTTCTGAAATGCCTCCAACTGCTGCATATAGATTTCTAAGAGCTGTGAAAGGTAAATGCATTTGAGGCTCTACAATGGATATTTGTTTGTAAGCAACCCCCTGCCCCTGCTAGACTTTTCAGCTTCAGAGGCAACAACAACAGAAAAAAGAAACACAATTTCATGAGAACTAGCTCTTCTCTGAGTTCTATGGTGCCAGGTCCAATGACAACTGTGCAATAGCTGGGACTCAGGAAAACGCGGGCAGGAACAGACAGTAGCAGAACACGCAGATGCCTTTTCAGCAGGTTTCACTGAGACCAAGACTGCTTGTAGAAACACAGCCTCGCAAGCAAGCCACCTATGAAGAACAACCGAGCACCATGCCCCAGTCTCCTGCCACATACAGCCATGCCCCCAGTTCATTTTACAGAGAGATGATGGCAATTATAGTCTAACAGCTTACATTTATCAAGTGCTTACTATATATTAGACTCTCAGAAGTTATTTGCATGCAGTATCTCACTTAATTCTCATAACAAGCCTTTAAGGGAGATAAAATATTAATTTCATGGCACAGTTAAGGAAACCAAGGTCACACACCTGGTATGTGCTCCAACTAGGGCTTGAACTTTGGGAGACTAATTCCAGAACGTGTGTTCTTTGCTATGGAAAATTTATAGCAATGTAGCAATTACCAGATCTGTTTATTTACATAGAGGAGGGTAGGCAACAATCATAAATTGTTCCAAACCACATTATAACCTCACAAAGAATTTGCAATTTCAACTTCTATTCACAGCTTCAGTGTCCTAACTAAGCATTGCAAGGGGTGTTAGTCGGGAGCGGGGTAGGGGGGTAGTTCAGTAGAAAAGAAATGAATCTCAAATAGTTCTAGTTCTTAAGGGGCCCACAACCCAAAGACAGAGACCTCCAACTAAAATCCAACCTGATGAAGGCCCATCAAAGCCAAGCAGCAGATGAAGTCTAGAGTAGCTAACAGGGTATGTGTATGTATTAGGAGGATAAAAGAGATGGTACTTTCCTCATTCAGCATTTATTAATTTTTCAATAGACAAGGATGACATTGGAATTGTTGCTTCATAAGGAAACTTTAAATTTCCTTTATGGTTTTTGCCTATTGCTCAACACATAAAACAATAAAATGCACTGTCTGGCATGCAGCCCTTGCAAATATGCCACTCTCAGAATTCTTCTCCTATTTTACTTACAAATTAAGTTGCAACCAAGTCACACTGCCAACACTGTAACAGTGCAAATTTCACACTGGGTGTTTTCACCAATCATATTAGGAGTCACCCACATTTGGAAGTGCTAAACGCTCACGAATAGGTGAAGGGTGTTATTTCTTTGAACTGCAGAATAGAACAGTTTCCTCCCAACAAATCAAAGCCCCAACCATATCACATTGATTTAATTCAAAAAACTCTAATTAGTGGTTACATAAAATAGCTAATTATGTCTCCCTGGATTCAGACAGTTTCTGCCATCTCCCTTAAAGAGCCTGGGAGCTGTGTAATCAAACAACCCACCCACAGGAAAGAGAATGCTAATTAGCATTGTTGATTGGTGACACAAGTTGTAATATTTTTCAGCAACCCTGTAAAATTTATAAACATGTCAGTGAAAACACCAGATTCTCTACAGCTTGCTAGCTTTTGGAATAAGTCTTTAAGAATACATCCATTTCTAACCACAGCCCCCTCAAAAAAGGGCTTTAACGAACTGCACGTACTGGCCACACAATCGCACCCCGCCCTAACACCACCCCAGGAGCACGGCAAGGATCTCTTTCTCAAGGCGTGGGCATTATACCTGGTTTGGAAGTGTAAAAGCTGAGCAACAGATTTCTTGGGCTGCAAGTCTCACCAGCTTCTCGCCAGCCGCCAGGCCGCGGCTCCGCCCCACTTCTACCTCCACCACCGACGCGTTTAAATTTTTATAAAGCTTCACACTTTTCTGGGCGCGTTGCTTGGGGCAGTTCAAAGGCTGCAGGAGGAAATGAGGTCCTGCCAGTGGCGAACATTACCCTAGCGCAGCGAGACTTCCCAGGATAGGAACATCTCGGCAGAGACTGGCCGGCACGACTCTGCTCCACCCCGGCTTTTTTGAAAGTAAACTCCTACCTGCCTGTTGCGCTCTCCGATGCGCAACCGGACGCGCCCCCCCAAGGCCTCCCGGCTGGCTCAATTTTGCAAGGGAGGTGTGAAACACAGGCCAGCTCTGTCCCGGTACCTGGCGATCGGCCAGGTGGCACCCGGGCGCTGGCGATTACACGAGTCCAGTCCGGCAGAGGGGTGGGAACCCCGGTGCGCGCCCGGATCCTGGGGAGCGCAGAGCCGCTGAGTCCCCACCCCTTTTGGCCCAGATAACTGCCCCCATCGATGCTCTGCACTCCCTAGCGGCCGGCACGCGCACCCAAGTGGCGCACCCCAAAGGCCAGCCAGGGGTAAAGGGGGGCGTCCAAGATAACGCGCTGGAGTCGGGTGCAATGGAGAGCGCAGGGCAGGGGCGGGAAGGCGCCCCGTGCAGGGATGGGAGGAGTGGGGTCCCGGGAAGCACGACCCGGGAGCGGTCTGGAGGAAGCCAAGGGAGCCACCGGCCAGAGAAGAGAGGGCCGCGAACCGCGATCGGAGTCCGGCGGAGGGAGTGCGGGAGGAGGGTGCAGGGGCGCGCCGAGTCCGGACGGGGCATCTCCCCACCCGAGGTCTGCCCGTAGGCCGCCGCCTCGCCGCGCACGGCCTCCCGCGGGACTCACCTCCGCGCTGGCCGGCTGGGCTCGGCGGCCCGCGGTCTCGGCTCACAGCGGCCGCGTCCCTGCGGCCTGTGCTGGGCTCTTGTAGAGGCAGAGCCCCACCACCGCCGCCGCTGCACTGCTGCTTTCCGCTTCCTGTCCCGGCGCCGCCCCGCAGCCCCAGCCCAGCCCTGCAAGCCCAGCGCGGCCGCGAGCCAAGAGCTGCGAGCGCTGCGGGCCCCTTGGCGGGCCCGGCCCACCTGCAGCGGGGGGCGGGGCCGACTGGAGAGCAGTCACACTCGCTAACACAGGGGCCGGGGACGACCCCCCCCCCCCCCCCCCCACCCCCCCCCCCTCATGTACACCCCCACCCTCAAACACGGACAGATATCCAGCACCCCCCTCTTTTTCTTTTCTTTTCTTTTTTTTTTTTTTTTTTGGCATACACTCACATGCATCACGAATTCATGACCCAGGGATTTACCCTCCACCCCAGGTCCCCGACAGGCTTGCACTCCCAAGCTCATGCACATACACAAATGCACACATAATTAGAATTATGCACAAAATCCAAATCGTTTGCTTTCACATAAGGCCCACATATTCACAAGGCTCAGGAACTAACTTCCACCACCACCCCCGCCCCCCCAAGACACACTCTCAGTTACACATATTATAATAACTGACCCACAAATATTCATATACACCCACGTCTCAATCCACATAGTATTCACACTTAAACGCACCAGTACCGCAAGAAATGACTCCACAAATAAATAGCCATACACATTCACACTACTACAGGCTGTCACTACTCCTCCCCTAACAGAGCAGGCACTCCCTGCTTCAAGTCTCCTAGAAATTGCTGAAAGAGTACATTTCTGATGACAGGTAGTCCAAGGTTCTGTGCTGATTCAACCTCGTCTACTTTTTTTTCTGCACCTTTGTTTCCCTGTCTGAAAAATGACAAGGATGCTAATGTGGACCTTGCAGGATTGTGATGAGATTTACCAAAAGTGGAAATGCCCAATAGGCAAGGAGCAGTGGGCGACTATTTTCGAGAATATTTGCACTCTTAGTTGCCTTGTGTTGTTAGGGTTAGGGATCCAGATTAAGTATGTCAGATCTAGCTGGACCCAGAGTTGCTGCCATGACAAAATTTTCTAGTGGAGGCAGTGTATGATGAACTGCTGAATTTGCAAGCGTTGTCTACAGGAGTATTGTGAACATTTAGGCTGGGAAACCTCAGCACATCCTGGACTGTCTTAGGGACCTTTAGCCCCAATCAACCCTTAATCCCCCATCACTTCTCTCTTATCCCCTCTTGCACTCATTTCTCCCTTATCTATTACACATCCTAAGCGGAAACCCAGATGTTCAACTTTACTGATTTTCACCACTCCCAGGATCAGGATCCACTGCCCCCCCTTGGTACCCCAGACCATTTGCACCCACACACCTGACCTATCTGGGCTCCTGAGGAAGATGCTGCAGACTCCAGCAGAGCTAGATCCCCCCAGTCAGACCAGTTGACTGTCCACCAAGACTGGGTGTAAAATTGTGGAGCTTTGCCAAAAGTATCTCATTTTGACATTAAGAATCTTTAAAATTAAGCAGGTTTTTTTTTTTTAACTCAAGTTGTGATGCTGCTGTAAAATAGAGTCCTCAGTGAATTTTCATGGAAAGTAATTTCAATTTATTTCAGTTATTACCTCTAGTCACCATACAATGTTTTTGTGGGAAAGAAGTGTAATCTCAAACTATTTTAAAATATTAAATTCACTTTTAAATACCATTTACTATTTGTTTTTATCCAACAATCTTGGATTTTAAAGTTGAGAAGGTTAGCACTGGAAAATTCTGGGGCACTGAGTGATTGTCAGATATTGTTACTGCTGTTGACCGGTGAGGAGTCCTTGCTTCCGCGAATGCTGAAGTATAACACCAGAGACGCACGCCGAGGCAAGTGTAGTGTGGAAAGTAGAAGGTTTATTAAAGGACAGCAGAGAGGACTTCTCCCAGGAGGAAGAAGGGGACCCAAAAGGCGGAATCTGTGGAAGGGGGAGGTCTTCCCTTTTTTTATAGCTTAGGTCTTCTTTCAGCTTTCCCACACTCAGGTCTTTTGTTTCCCTTTATCTTTCAGTGATAGAATGCAGGTGGGAAGGTCCAAAAGGTGGGAGACAGCTAGGAGCTGTTTCATTAACAGTTCCTTAGAATGGGTTCTAAGGGTCTTGGGAACATTAACATTTCAATTTCCCCAAGTGTTGCTCTGGTTTCCTGGACTCCATTCTCTATAACAGCCTCCATTTTCTTTATTTTACTCCATGTTAGACCCGATTTACCTAACTACACTAACTACCTATCTTTGAATCTAGCTTCAGTATCACCTAGAGAAACTGCCTGTGGCAGTTTTCAGCCATAGTTGGTTTTCCCCTAAAGGTGAGTCCTCCAACTTAGGGTAAATCAATAATAAAGGTAATATTGTGGGCATCCTCTGCCACTCCTTTGTCTCACTCATCCATTTACTGGAAACTCAACTGGGGAGGAGAGATCCTGTGTAGTGGGTGCTCTTCGCATGACTGCATCCCATGCTTGCATGTGAATATTTCATCCTCTTTGCCATTCTCATAGTTTTCCCGAAGTCCAGAATGCTACCTACTAAAATTCTTCACATTGCCAAGACCCAAATCAAATGTCACCTGTTACACAAAACCTTCCCCAGTTCTCCCAAACAGAATAGTCTCTTCTTCCATTTAAATTCTCAAAACTCTCTGATTTTTTCTGCCTACTTTCTAACCCTGTATTGGCTATTTGAATCTTATCTCTTCAATAATGTGTAAATATCATGTCTTATTTGCCACCCCCTTTTTTTGTTTCACAGATCTTTCCACATAGTAGCTGCTTTAAAATATACTTAGCAAAGGAATGAATGACTATCAAAGACTTCTTGCCCTTGGGAAATTCATAACCTAACCAGGGAATGATCTAGTTGAAAAATCTTGACAGCTGCACATAAGATAGCTAACAAGAGGTAACATATAAAGGCTGAGTGCTCTAAAATCATACTTTCTGAAAAGTTAGACATCCGAGAATTCTGAAGAAAGCCCCCAAATGGGAGTTCAGTGAGAAAAAACCTCTGATCAACAAATTAACTTACAGAAGTCTATGTTTTAAAGCAGATACACTTATCAATAGGAGATTCTTACCTACATTTAAATACTTGTACACTGAGTTTGCAGGCAATTCTAATAACCTTCATTATCTAATTCCTAAGTCTCTTATAGATTAGAAACACATTCAGAGAAAGTCAGAAGCTGGTGGCAGTGTTTCACGCCTGTAATCCCAGTGGTTTGGAAAGCTGAGGCAGGAGGATCTCAAGTTCAAGGTCAGCTTCAGCAATTTAGTGAGTCCCTAAGCAACTTAGTGAAATCCTGTCTCTAAATAAAATATAAAAAAGGCTGCGGATGTGGCTCAGTGGTTAAGTGCCCTGGGTTCAATCCCTGGTACCAAAAAATAAAAATAAAAAAGAAGGGAGTCAGAGTTGATCTCAGAGGGACACCAGCGACTGCAAAGGGGGTCATTATGAGGATCATTTGATTCCAATGCTCATGGCCTTTTCTTTTACCAGGTATTCCTCCTGGCACAAGACCATACCACAGGAAAACATTTAGTCTACCAGGAACGAGCCTGCATTAGAAAAGCCTAGAGGGATGTTCTCTATGCAGTATTATATTTAAGAAGACAGGGAAGCAGTGAAGCCAACATTAGAAAGATTTCCATGCAAATGCTTGACATGTTAAAAAGCGATGATTCTTTAAAGAGCCATTGTCTATAAAATCTACATATATGTAATGTCCATTTAGTGGTTAAATAAAGTTGTGATGAGATGCTACCATATGGGTCATGAGTGCCCAAAGGGGTTCACACAGGCCTGAATGGTCAGGGAAAGATTTCTAGGGGAGAGTCAGCTTGTCTTCACCTTAAGAAAAGAGAGAAATGAAATATTCATCAATGGAAGACGGGCACTGGAAGAGCAACTGGCCTAACCCAAGCACTCAGTGTCTTCATGTTGAGTCAATGGGTCAGTAGTATTTCTGTGAAGTGTGGGTGAGGGTAGGGAGAGAGAAATGTTTGGGATATACTCCAGGGCAGGGAGCAGAGCAGTCAGAATCAAGATAAGGGCTTATCCTGAGACACAGAGCCATCAAAATTGAGTGACTAGGATTAGAAAGTAGGAGTGTTTGAACTTTTAAAAACAGGCTAGCAAAATGATAAAGTATTCATTCATCCAAGAACAGATACAGACAGAGGGTTTTAACTTGACTTAAGATCTACTTGCAATTTTTCAACTTTGCAGTGGTGCAAAAGCAATACACATTTCATAGAAATCATACTTGGAATTTTGGATTTTGAACTTTTCCTGGGCTAGCAGTCTATGGGGACCCTCAGTGAGCCCCATGATCAAGAGAGTGAACAGCTGAACAGTGTACTATGTGGCCATAGGTTTGTTTTTTGTTTTTTGGTTTTTTTTTTTTGATACATATATCTAATAATAGCCAATACTCTAAAATAGATTTTTTGTTAGATGCTTTTTCCCAACTGTAGAATAACTTAAGTGTTCTGAGCACATTTAAGGTAAACCCGGCTAAGCTATGTCTGGCATTTTAGGTATATTAAGTACATTTTGAGCCTCCCATATTTTCAGCATATAATGGGTTTGTCAGGATGTCACCTCAAGGTACATCAAGGAACATCCATGCTTAGTATTTACTATGTGCCAAGCAAAATGTAAGCTGCTAGAGATAAAGTTAGGTAAAGTAACATTGATCAGTGATCCAACACTTTATTCAGCAAATATTTATTGGGCACTTACTATGTACCAGTCACTACTGTAGGCTCTGGAGACACATCAAAACAAACAAAAGCTTTTACACGCATAGAGTTCACATTCTAGTGGGGAGAAATGGATAGATGAGCAGTATAAACATGTCCTCCCTAGCAGCATGAGGGCTAAGGAGAAAGCAAAGCAGAAAAGACACAGGAGAGGGGGCGGTAAGGGTGTGTGCAACCCCCTCCTGGAGGACCTCAGGCATTCCTGGGAGAGGCTGCTATGTAAACAGAGACTTGCAGTAGAA